TTTATATGCTGGCTCGTGTTTATGGAGAAATGTGCTATGCTTCTGGATAGAAAGATAAGTTCCTACAGAACAAAAAATGTCAAAGAATAGCTGAGAAGTGTTTAGAAAGAAAATAATGAAAGACAACTTGCCTTAGCAGTTATTAAACTTTATTCTACACTGGTGTGGACAAACATGTTGGTGGAATATGTATGATGAAATTTTACTGTAATCTATATCCCAGACCCAGATTCTGAACTTTCCTCTCACTGTGTTCCTTATACTCTTTTTACCCCAATTTAAAAGTCATTGGGGAAGAAAATTGCTGTTAGTGAAGGAAACACAGTTTCTATCCTAGGCCTGTAGAGTAGAAAAGAAGAGTCACTGCTGTTTAAAAGTTATTTTGGCTAGGCAAGGTGGCTCACACCTGTAATCCCAGCACTTTGGGAGGCAGAGATGAGAGGATTACCTGAGCCCAGGGATTTGAGACCAGGCTGGGCAACTTGACGAGACCTCATCTCTACAATAAATAAAAAAAATTAGCCAAGCATGGTGGCACACGCCTGTGGTTCCATTCCAGCTACTCGGAAGGCTGAGGCAGAAGGATTGCCTGAACCATGCAGACTGAGGCTGCAGTAGCCATGATCTTGCCACTGTACTCCAACCTGGGCGACAGAGTGAGACTCCAACTCAGGGATGGGGGGTGGGGAGGCTATTTAAGACTGGGTGCAGTAGCTCATGCCTGTAATCTCAGCACTTTGGGAGGCCAAGGAGAGGATTGCCTGAGCCCAGGAGTTCAAGATCAGCCTGGGTAACATGGCGAAACTTTGTTTTTACAATAAATCAAAAAATTAGCTGGACATGATGGCACATGCCTGAAGTCCCACCTACTTGGAAGGCTGAAGTGGAAGGATCACCTGAGCCCTGTAGATCAAGGCTGCGGTAGCCATGATCATGCCACTGCACTCCAACCTGGGTGACAGTAAGATTCTGACTCAAAAAAAAAAAAAAAAAAATTTAAAAACAATATCTCTCCAGGTGAAATGACATGACAACGTGACATGGTGCCTTGTATGGTTTCCTGAAGTACTTAGCCATTATCTATCAGAGAATAAAGACCTTTAGAGGCAGTTCCTCTGTCAGAGCTTAGCTCACTTGGACTTAGTGTTCATTCATTGAACTGTCTTTTTAAAGAATTAAGTTACCTTTAGCCAGGTGCAGTGGCTCACACCTGTAATCCCAGCACTTTGGGAAGCCAATGTGGAAAAATTGCTTGAGTCTAGGAGTTTGAGATGAGCCTGGGCAACATAGAGAGACTTATTTTCTACATAAAAAAAAAAAAAAAATTAAAAAAATTAACCATGCATGGTAGCATGTGCCAACTAGTCCCAGCTCCTTGGGAGGCTGAGGTGGAAGGATCGCTTAAACCCAGGAGGTTGAGGCTATAGTGAGCTGTGATCGTGGCACTGCGTTCCAGCCTAGGTGGCAGAGTGAGACCTTGCCTCAAAAAGAAGGAGAAGGAGAAATAGTTAACTTAGTTAATCTGAAGTGGAGTGATGCATTATTTGCGTAACACTTAACTAGTCAGTCTATGAGACCACACTCCAAAGAAAGAGCCAAGTCAGAGGAGGGCAGTTAATTCCCAGAAGACGACCCTCTCTGCCTTTTATACTCAAATTGGTCAAGACACACAGGACACAAAGCCCATGCCTGTTAGATGTGGAAGCAGATTCTAGGCCCATCTGCTAAGTCCTCAGATGTCCCTGCCTCTTGGAATTCAGCATGCTAGAGGAAAAGGAAAGGCCGTGGACAGAGTGGAACAGGTGACCTCTAGGGTTCTACTCAATCTACTTGGAGAAATGAGGATTTGAAGCCTTCCAGCGTCATGCTGCTTCTGTAGCAGTGGCTTGGGTAGCTGCCACTGCTACCATCACAGCCACAACCTGGACCTGCAAGCCCACAGCCAGAGGTTAGGAGGAATCAGTACCCAGAAGACCCCAATGACAGAGACCACAAAGGGCTTCTAAAGACAAAGACTACTTAAAAGGGATTACGGGACACTCACAAATATACGCACACCCCATGTGTACATGCTCACACATACATGAAGGTCTCTGGGGTAATTTTCAAGTCCAAGTATCTTTCTAGATCAGCACCTTTGCTTGCTCATGGTCGGTGTTTTTCAGATGTGTTGTTGTGGTCTCTCATATCACTGATGTGCTTATCTCATCAAAAGTGTGGTTCTGAAGGTGCACCTGTATGCAAGGGCTGTCTGCGCTCTCTCACTGGAGCAGTGCTTCTCAACCAGGGATGATTTTGCCCTCCAGGGAACGTTTAGTAATGTCTGAAGAGATTTTTGATTGTCACTACCCGGGAGTTCTATTTTCATCCGATGAGTAGAGGCCAGGGATGCTGTTAAACAGCCTACAATGTACAGGACAGCCCTTACAACAAAGAGTTATCCAGCCCCGAATGTCACTTGTGCTGAGGTTGAGAAAGTGACTCAATAGACTTGTGAGCTTTTGGTTAAGATATCCCCCACCAAGAGCAGTGACCTGCTCCTGCATCTAAAAGTTGGAAATAATATT